TGAAGTGCTGTTTTCCATAAGCGCTTATGCACATGCTCAAAAGACAAATGATTAAAAAATGCCCACCACCCCACTCCATGGCTGTGGTGTCTGATCAGTCAACCACGGGGTTAAAACACATTGAAGCAGGTTAAGGGGGGTCGTCTGATCAAAACTCTCTATTACAAAAAACCCTAGATCAATTAGAAGCAAGGCCACACCAGATCAAACTGTATGTCTGACTGCAGCCTCAGTAAAAGTTAGGGGGTGAGGGGCTGGAGGAAGGGAGGGGGAGCTGAGGATCGGGGGAGGGGCCCACAAAAACAGGGGGGGCAGGCCCTGTGGGCCCCACATTAGCTGCGGGCTTGCTCTTACTATGGAATTAGTAACTGGAGCCTAAAAATGCTTTACTGTGATAGCTAATAAAATGAGGCAGTATTTAAAGTCCACCCACACAAGAAGTGTCCTTTATTCTCCAAAATGGTCATCAGAATATTATTTGTAATCAATAGCTATGAAGTGCACAGACCATACTATACTGCAAAGATTTCCATTCAAACCATTAATCTGCATGTGGAATAAAGCTCACAGTGGCCTCAGTCCAGAGACCTGACTACAAGAGCTGCATACTGTGTGAATGTTTCTCTGGGCAAAATATTCCTTGGTGAAAAGATCACTGGCAGCACTAAATTTTGGCAATTCTTGAGGGTGCAGGGAAGAAAGGATAAGATTCCTTTTCTATTCAGTAAGGAGCCCTGTCCACAGATTCCTGTCCTGTTCCACCTCTCACAAGGCCCTCGGGCTGATGCAAGCAGAGACTTGATGGTACACACAAATTAGGCTGAAATGAAGACAGAAGGCAAAACTCCTCTTAAAAATTCCATCAGATATAAATTAACCTTACACTGAGGTAGATCACTGAACATGATTCAACACAGGGCCTTTTGCCTACAAAGCATATATTGTTCCACCAAACTTAACATCACATTCTTCTGTTCTCCCTTTATATTTTGAATCCTGTACCATATGTGTGACATCACATAACTAATGGGGTGTAGTGGTTAGGGTGTCATGCTCAAACCTGAGGTTCCTTAGATTAAAATTCCCACACTGACATTGAGCCTGCTAGCTGATTTTGGACCAGTCTTTTTCTCAGATTAACCTGTCTCACAGTGTTGCTGTGATGATAAAATGGGTGAAGATGAAGAATACTTACCTCCACAAGCTCCTTGAAGGAAGGGGTGGGATACAAATGTACTAAATGAATTAATAGTGTTATCCCAGAATGAGGATCCTTGCCATGATTGCATTATGGAATAGAATATAAATGACAGTAAATTTTACAGAGAGGAGAACTTGGCAAAGGATGTTGTTTTGGCAGTAGCTCTGTGTAATTCTGTCTTAAAGAAAACAGATAACGATAAGCTGAAGCAGCAAGCAGGTTACTGGCAATCAGTGCTTACGGATTTCTGAAGGTCCATTCTGATGGCGTCTTAAAGGCCCATTAACCAAGAAACTAATCTGTGGAGATAGGGGGACTCCAGTTTAGTTATTTTCTTAGAAATTTCTGGTTGAAGGGCATGCATGGGACCTCTTTATTGTACAGTTGCCAGACAGGACCAGGCAATCATTTGTGGGGGTTTTCTGAAGACATGGGGTTCCATGGTCTCATTGTAAGACATTTTAGTACAATGTGGTTGCTAGGAAAATATCTGGGAGTGATCTGAGGAAACTTTCTCCTCCTGAGTATGCTCATGATTTATAGCAATCCTGAGATGTACTTTCTTGACAAGAAACGCTTGAGATCTTCACTTTCGGATAGCGGATAAGGATATCGGTGTCAGATTAGGGCTGTTTTATGACAAGATTCAGATATTGGTTGTAGGTTTCCATACTCACTCTTGTGGGATCAGGGGAAATTGATGGGGCATAGGTCAATTTTAACAGTTGTGATGTAGACAGAATGGGGCCGTGACCTGGATAGCCCAGGATAGCCAAAACTCATCAGATCTCAGAAGCTAAGCAGGGTCAGCCCAGGCTAGTATTTGGATGGGAGACCTCCAAGAAATACCAGAGTCATGATGCAGAGGCAGACAATTGCAAACCACCTCTGAGTGTCACTTGCCTTGAAAACCACACAGGGTCACCATCAGTCAGCTGTGTCTTGATGGCAGTTTCCACCACTAGAAGGAAGGGGATAGCAGGAAAGTGCTGGTCATTAGAAACTACTCATAAGGCATTTTCATAGATGATCCAAAGATTACTTCTTATTCTGGAGTGCATTGTTAAAGTTGGACATGTAGCACAGAAGTTATATGATCCTAAGCAGAGCTGCACCATTCTTTTTTCTTTTCTTTTTTGCCCCCCGGAGGGGATTTTTTATTAGACTACAAACTACAACGAAAAATTGGGAAGGGGTAACTACATCTAGGGAGAAAGGAAAGAAAACCACAACTAACTAAAACCCCAAGAATAGGAGATCATCACACAGCTTGTATATATGTTAATCTTAAATTGATAATATTACTTTGAACATAGTCGGCTATGCTAATTTTTAAATCTTTTTATCCAATGTTTTAACCATTCAAGAGAGCCCCCAGAGCATCCCACAATAAAACTAAAGTCTAAAGGCACACTTCAGAGTCCTTCAGCCTTCATTTTGTCTTATCTTTTCTAATCCTCAATTTATATGTACGCTTGGGGGCAGCCGCCCCCTTATCAGAAAGAGAATCCTCATTGGAAGACCCTGAGTCCAATTCGCCACTGGATTTGCTGTCATTGTCTTCCTTCTCGACCTCG